TAATTTTTTTATAATTTAATTTAAGTTTAATAATGAAATAATTTATTTTTTGTTTAATAATATAACATTTTATAAAGATAATAATTAAGTATTCAGTTAGAACTCAATGATTATCCTAATTATATTTTAGATATTTTATATTTAAAATGAGATGTTTATCTTGGTTTGAGCTTGGCTCCAAAGGTTAAAAGTACCAGGAGGTCCCAGGTTCAAATCCAATAAAAAATATAAATCCCCTTGTGACCACATAGATTCAAATACGGTGACTCTGTACTATTTGTAAAACAAATGGTCGTCCTAGGATTAGTTGGCTCGCATAAGGATTAGACACAACTTTTTTTTCTATCTGATACGTAAATGCATTATTACACATGTAGGTCCGCCAATGAGAGTTTTTCGTTTATATACATAATCACATGTTACAATTGTGAAGTCAAATTAAGTCATAAAGTCAACAAAAATAATGCTTTCATTTATGAAGTTTGATGACAATAAAAAAGAAAGTCATTATGGTGAAATAAATGACTATAAATTTAAATATGGGAAGTAAAAAAAAAACTTAGTCAAAATTTTCCATTTTGAATGATTTAGTAATTAAATTTGTTTTTTAAATTATTAAACTTTTTCATTTTGAATAATTAAGATATTGTTTGATTTTTTTCTTCTGTTAAATCATGTATGAATAAAATTGTCCATATTGAAAAAAAGTTGTCTGTATGATAATTGATAAGTTATTGTTCGGTTGTTATGTGGAATAAACGGTCTGAATTGTGAAAATATACTATTTTACCCTTTGTTTTACATTAAAGGAAAACCAGTCTCCTGCGATTATCAGAGCAACGATAGATCAAAATCAAACCCAAAATCAACAACAATTTAGTAAAAATCCATCCCAGAAAGCGTATAAAAACTAAATTTGAATCMTAAATMWRAAACTCACATCAAATCCTAAATCACAAGAAAAAAAGAAAGAAAGATGAAGAACCCTAAGAAAGAAACTCACAACAAGCAAGAAAGATGAAGAACCCTAAAATAGAAATATCGGTCCGATTGCCACTGTAATCAACAAAAAATTGAGGGCTTGATTTTGGGAAACACCCAATAACCTAGCAAAAAATCAAGGGGCGGATTTCAGGAACAAAAATGGCTCAATTTTAGGAACAAATCACTGAGGGAGAAACTAGAGAGAAGATCGAGTTTGGAGAAATCGAGCAACCAGAGATGAAGAGGGTCGAGGGAGCAGCGGACTCTGGAGGAGAAGGAGCATCAATCGATCCATAGAGGAGGAACAACGATCTATGGAGGAGGAGGAGGAGGAGGAGCAGCTATTGATCTATAGAGGAGGAGAGGAGTATGATCTTGGCTTTTTATTACTTTAATTTTCTCCCAAACTTCCATCCTTTTTGCCAACTTTCACTCAAATCTTTGGTTTCTATTTGCTATGCTTTTTAATCTTCTTCAATTTCAAATGTTGTTTTCTCGAATTAATTATTTAAATTAAAAATAGTTGTAAACTAAAGAAAAAGATGTAAAAATGGAAAGATAGTAAAATTCTCTGATCTTCAAACTCTACTTTCTATTGGTCAATGCAAGGGCAAATATAGGCTTTGGGAGACGGGTGAACTTGTACTCACTCTATTTTTCTGACGTAATGGAAAAAATTAGGGTTCTTCAAAGTTTACTGTTCACTCGCTTTTTTATATTGATGTGTGTACCATTAAGTTAGTAAAAAGTTGTTGTAGTCTACTAGTAATGTTATTAAATGTGATATTATAGATTAGTTCAAATCTCTTTGCATCTTTTTTTAATTGTTTGGTAGCAACAACAAAAAAGATGCAAAAAAGAAGAAACAATCTATTTGGATGTTGCACAAAAATCATTGTATGTCATTTATAACGAAACTGTATTTTCTACAATTAATATTCGTATTATCTTATATTATACTAATTATTTTGTGCACCAACGTGAAATTTTTATAGTCCACCTCTAGGTCAATGACATTTTCCCTAAACAAATCAATGTATACAAATAATTTTATATACATCCAACTTAATAAAAAATCAACCAAAGAGTCTTAATAGCTAATTCACGTGGAAATACAGGTGCAATTAGTTGTGCTGGTAATATTGAGTGCATTCTTAATTTCTTATCACATAGTTATGTAATTCCCGCCCCCCTGAACTTTGGAATCGTTCAACTCCCATCTCCCAAGGGGTCCTGAATTTAATTGACAACCACTTGATTTGGTTAATCGTAATTACCATTCGCAATTTCATACACCTTTCTTATGTATATTGATGTTTCAAATGTATTAGAAAAATTTAAGTTTGAATTCCTTTTCAGATGTTATAAAGTTATCTATTAGACGCTCGAACAAATTTGTTGCCCTGTAAACCGGAATTTGTTGTAGTGGTACAAGCAAGCTAACGTTTTTGAGGGTGTGTAAAGAAAATGTTGTTGTATACCTAAAGTTATCTATCAATTTAGGGTTTCTTGTCTTTCGGCTTAATTAAATTAGGCCCATGGTATGCCCACATCATGGGGACCATGATCTGATATCAAATAATGTGGTGTTAACTGGGTCATGTATGGTGTGTACTCGATCTACTTGCTTCGATAATATGTGGGCTCCAATGAGAAAGAAAACAAAGAATAAGGGATAACTGTAAGTTACTCAAAAGTATAGGGTAGCTAAAGTAAACATTATACATCGATAAATATCCCTTAATTTCTTATTCAATTCCCACATACACAAGATTCAAACTACTATATCATGCATACTATCTCCAAGATGAAAGTAAGTGTAACAGGATGTGGTGTTGGAATAGTAGTAATTGTACTAGTCATCTGGTATGGGTGGAGATTTGTGAATTGGGTTTGGTTAAAACCAAAAAAGACGGAGAAGTATCTGAAAGAGCAAGGGATGAAGGGAAGCTCCTACAAGTTTTTATTTGGAGACGTGAAAGAGATGGTGAAGATGGCAAAGGAGGCCAAAAAATCTGGACCCATGATCAATCTTACGAACGATATAGTTACTCGGATCCAACCTTTCATTCATAAAACCGTCAGTACTTACTGTACGTATTCTTGCTTTCTTTTCCTGATTTTTGTTACTTCTGATGATAACTTCTCCGATTATTTATTTTCCAAATAATTGACTTTAAGTTTTATATTTGTGTTTTGTATATTAAGTTATCTAAATATATAAAACTTATATCCGACGCATTATAATTATCATTTTATGATTTTGGTTCAAACTAAGAAACAACAAGCTTTTAAAAATTACTATATAAGTTTCAATAAATGCAATTTTGATTTTGAATTTTTTTTTTTTGATGAGTAATTGAAATATATGATTAAAATACCCTTTTAAATAAGACAATATTAAGAAAACTTATAAATCAAAAATACACATAGCTAGCGTAATTACATATCCAAAACAGTAAAATAAAATGAATTCTTCCTAAAATTCTTAGTACATTTGTCGCCTTGCTTTCAATTACGACCGTTCTACATGACCATTAATAATACTTTTTAATTGTATAGGCAAGAATTTTGCCTTCACATGGTTGGGGCCGAGACCTTGTGTGCATATCACCGAATTTACTATGATAAAGGAGATATTAGCTAATTACAATAAATTTCCGAAGCAAACCGGAGGAAATCCATCTAAAAAGTTTCTTATTAAAGGTATAGTAGCCACTGAAGGTGATCAATGGGTGAAACATAGAAAAATCATCAATCCAGCTTTTCATGTCGAGAAGCTCAAGGTTTGTTCTTCTTGCCTTACGTATTACAACATGAAAGTTAATGGTATCATAAATCCGACCTTTCTTGCTTAAACGTGAAAATTATAACAATTACTGTTTGATAGCATATGGTGCCCGCATTTCATATGAGTTTGTGCTGAGATGATAAAGAAATGGGAAGAAAGGTTACAAAATGAAGGTTCCTGTGAAGTGGATGTGTGGCCTTATCTCCAAACATTGACACGTGATGTGATTTCACGTACAACATTTGGTAGTAGTTTTGAGGAAGGGAAAAGAATATTTGAACTACAACAAGAACTATCGGGCTTAGTTAAATAGACTTTACAGTCCATCTATATTCCGGGATCAAAGTGAGTGTTTTTAACAAGAATCGAGAACCTTACCCGGTAATTGAGGGCGACGACTCTTACCATGGTTAGTGTGTACCGGGATAAATTGTTGCATACGATGCATTTTGGTGAATAAATTTTGCTCGGTAAGTAAACGATAATGTTGAATTTTACCGGTAAACGCTTACCGGGTAAGTTTTTAGGTAAACGACCTCTTACCCAATTCAATCGAATGAGAGATGTTGAAATCAAATTTTGATCGGTTCTCATCTTTGTGATTATCAAAATTGATGTTTGCTTTTGATGAAGAAATTTCTATGAATCAAAAGAAAATCCAAGTGATCAACGAAATTTAATTATTGTTATAAAATCCGTTATCGGATTTCAAAACTGTTTTCTGCTGGGATTAATTATTCAAATTTCCTTTTTCTGAAAAACCGAAAATACACGTAATAGTCATATATCCAAAAATGATTCGTACAACTTAGCGAAAAATTAGATATAAGATGCGTACAAACGTGTAAACTATGAACTTCAAATTTATGTTCGCATTTCAATTTTTAAAAAGAGTAGTTTTCATTTATTTGATTTACATGGACTTAATCTTTTTAATCTATTGTTAAAAATAAAACATGGAAAATGATTTTCTATGTTCTTGGATATTTTTAAGTAAAATTTAGTTGATTTTCTATGTTCTTGGATATTTTTAAGTAAAATTTAGTTGATTTTTCTGTCTTTATAAATAAGTAAGTAATTACAGATAAGATTGTTTAAATATAAACTGAAATCGATCTGATCTATCTATTCAAATTAAAGGTCTATGGCTTGTCTCTTCACACCCTAACCAACATCTATTCTACCATTAATTTGACAAAACACTACATCAGTTTTAAAAGATATGTATACGCAATTTTAAACTAATTTTTGTGTTCTCAAACTACAAACAAGACAATATAATTTGTTTTTGGTTTTCATAAAAGGACCATCTGTTTTGATAAAATAAAGTGTAGTGATTTGTTTATGGTATTAAAAACACGACTATTATAAAATTTAGTGTTTTAAATAGAATTGAAAACTAAAGTAGAATACCTTTATAAACAAAATCAAAGATAATATATATTTAATATTTTATTTGTGTTTAGGTTTTTTTAAAATATGAAATCATTAACATTGGGTTTAAGATAATAAAAATATTTATCAACCATTTGATATGAGTTACTGTTATGAAACTGTTTTGATGCTATTATTGGCACAAAGGTAAGGACCAAGAATCTCACCGGGTAAAAGACGTTTACCACAATCCATTTTTTATGGTTGAAAAGATTACTCAACAAGGTAGGTGAGGATGATGACTCTTGTCAGTAATCACTTACCCGATAAGTGTTTGGTAAACGACCTCGTTCAAGTTATTTTTTTAACCTCCTCAACATTTCTCCAAGTGCTACCATTTTTATGAATAAGAAACAAGATAAAAAATCAGGCATTTAAACACATAGACATGAATGTTTTAAAGCAATTTAACATAAAAACGCTTGGTGATCGTACCTCTAAACTATGTCTCTACTTCAACAACTTATCTTCAGTCCTAGCATTGACAAACTACCATTGCAATTGCCAATTATATGAAAGCGTCAACGTGTATGCATTCACAACACGATTCTCACCCACTTTCCCTCTTCAAACATCAACCGCAAAACTAAGTACCAACGGTATCTCATAAAACTAGTACTAATGATTCCAGAAACAAAATTCCTTCAATGACTAATTATTTCCCTTGATGCGGATATCATAAACTTACTTGACGATGTTGGGATCATTCTATATGGGGAAGCCATGGTTCTTGGTGACAATAATAGACTATCACTCGAGAACATACTGACATGGATACCCGTTTACAAAAGGGTTACATGTGTAATAGGGCCTCCTACAAGATTGGATCAACCCTGGGTTTATTAATAGAACACTTATTAAATTTAAGAAAATAGAAGGAAAAAAAGGGTATGGTCCAATAGGTCCTATCCCAAATGACTTTTCATCTATGGCATCTGTTATAGAAAGTGATAGAATGTAAACTACATCTTCCATTGGCAATCTTGTAAGTTATCCCTTTGATCATCAACCATACAATTGTGGATGGTACTGACAAGACTAAAAGCTGGTAGCTTTCTGAAATTTCCTGAATTTGATTGTTATGAAGGTATATGATACTATCAAAAGCATCCAGCCTGATGATGATGATGGTTCATATTCAAGCTGAAATCTTCCCAATGATAAAGTGGCATCTTCCCAACGATATAATGGCCCTCGTTATAACAAGAATAAGAAGAGCCAAGAAACACCAACCTCACAGACACAGTGATGAGTAAAGAAATAACGTGGTGATGAGTTTAGAACTAATCGGATACTAATTGCAGTCAGATATAGCAGATTCAAACCCTAAAAACACAAAATGATTTTTTTTTACGAGCTCTAAAACCGATTGAAGAAGAAATACGACGATTTCACATACCTAACACCACAAAAAGATCGATTGATGACGAGCGATGGCAAATAGAGACCGATTGAAGAAGCCCATTGAAGAAGAAAGAGTGGTCGGTCGAAGATTGAAAGCATTGGAATTTAGAGCGCCGATTGAAATCCCTGTTATTAGGAAATTGAGTTTTGATTAAATGTGTTATAATATTTTCCATGTCAATTTTTTTCCACATCATTGTTTTAAAAATATTGCCATCTTTAGTTTTTTGTAAGGGTGTCCGGGCCAAAGCCCGACTAATCCCCGACAAATTTGGAGGCTAAACATGGCCCCACTTAAATATCGCCAACACTCCCCTCTCGGCTCGAACTCGGGTTTATGACTATGTCATGCCCAAACCTTTACCACTAGGCTGGAAGGTAAACTGAAGAAGTATAGGTAAATCAAGTAATTAAAAGTTTGAGATTTTATATCAAAATAAAAGTTTTCAAAGTATGTTATCTAAAATAAGAATAAAACTTTTACATAATTTGCCCTTAATTTTTATTAGATTTTTTTCAACTAATTTTTTATGATTTAAATTGAATCTTACAAATCTCACATATTAGTAAAATCTTAAAAGAAGGCCCCATATCTATACATATTATAAAATATTTGACAAAAACTCTTAAAAATCATTCTTTATGCTTGAAGTATTGTTTACTAATGCATATTACTTAAAATTTAAGATTACAAGTAAATTGTGCAATTAAGTACAATTTATTAAAGTTGCATTTTTGAATTCGTATAACTAACTGCAGATAAACATAATCAAATTCTGGATAAATATCTTTTTTTAAATATAATTACGATAATTATTGAGTTCTAACAGAATTCTTAATTATTATCTTTATAAAAAATCATATTATTAAATCATAAACAAATTACTTTATTATTAAATCTAGACTAAATTATAATAAAAAATTGAATTAAAGAAACTGCACAAAAAAATAATAACTTTTAAATAGTTAATTTGATATCAATTTTGATATATTTATTTTTGAATTTTTATGATATTTAAATTTATATTTTATTCAGAAATAATAACATTATCTCTTTCTCAAAAACATTAAAAAAAAACCGTATTATAACGTATTCAGAGAATGAATAAAACGAAATATTAAAATCGAGATATATCTCGCTGCATTGTACGACTACCCTTATAGTGTATATATATATATATATATATATATATATATATATATATATATATAGGGAGGTTCAGAGGAAAACCTCACACAAATGAAAAACTAAGGAATACCTTGATAAATGTTCATCTGAACGACATGCACATGTGCATACTGATAACATAAGTTGTTTTCTTGGTTTTTATGCACTTGTACGTATTATGCACATGTGCATACCAAACAAATTGCTTAAAATTACCTATATGCACATACAGATACTGTCCAAATGAACGATTACCAAAGTGTTCCTTAGTTGTTCATCTTTTTATGGTTTTCCCCTGAACCTGACCCTATATGTATAGATAGAAGTGGACAATTTTAAGATTAATTGACATTGAAAAAGGAAAAAAAAATTTATGAAAAAAGAATCAATAGAAGAGAAAAATAAGCCAAAAACTTTAAATAAAATTCAAACCTATGACGTTTTACATATGAATTGGTAATTCAACCATTCTACCTGTTTTTAATTCTGTGATAAATTTGGTTCTAAAATATTTCTAGGCACCCTTTAAAATCAAGTGGATGCAATTTTAGACGTCTCATTTTTTGTCTCTTACAATAATCGAGCAAATGGGAACATAAAAGACCATTCAACGTTTAATAGGTCCGGCTCCCGCAACATTGATGTTTCTTCAAAATAAAGAAAGATTTGATTGCAGAATGGGTCGAAATATTCCATTATAATACAATTTCAACCTTTTTTAAGCCAACAAAAGTTTTCATGGTTTAAACGTAAAAATTTCAAACCTCTCCATCAACATAACATCATATACAAGTTCAATACAATTTTTCAATACAATAAAACACACAGGGTGCATAGCCATCAACGACTCAAAGCTTAGGGTTATAAAAGAAAATTTATCAATCAATAAATACCCTAGTCCTCTGAACATCATCACAAGTTCACAAAATTAGCTCACAGCTTTTCTACAGCCATGGAGGAAACAACAGTTGTTTGTGTTATTGGAGTAGCAGGGATCTTGACGATATACATATGGCGAGTTTTAAATTTCTTGTGGTTTAAACCGAAAAAGATGGAGAAGT